AATTAGTAGCAAATAGTTACTCTGCCCAAATACACGGTTACACAAAACACTCTAACTTGATTATATATATATATATATATATATATATATATATATATATATATATATATATATATATATATATATATATAAGATGAAGCGACTGGTGGAGGCTTCACACAACAAGTGGTTAGATTAGACACATTCATCTCTTAGTTGAAGGACCTTCAACTAGCCCCCAGCCTATAATCGTTAAATCTTAAGTGAGCGGGAAAGATATGTATAAATCTATATGAGATTGACACTCCCATCTGTGATTGCTAGCTACAACCTGACAACAAGTAGAAGCAGGCATAACTTTCTTGTAACATCCCGAAATTCAGGTACAACTATTTAGCCCTTCTTTCTATTCAAAGTGTCAAGTTAAGCCCTTAAGAGGAATTGGTAGCAAATGAGTACGCTGCGCGTACTCATGCGCTTATTTTGGACGCGGACTCGCCTGAGTACGCTGGGCGTACTCAGGGTTACGCTGGGCGTAATGTGTCCAGGTGCAAACCCTAATTTCTGACTTGTGCCCTATATATTGGATGCTAAGGCTCATTTCTCAGCCTCCATAGCAGTGAGTAAAACCCTAAGAGAGAACTTTTCATCGTTCTTAGTGAGTGTGTGTGATTTTGGAGCTAAAAGTGCCTTGGTGTGCTAGTGAAGAAGAAGGAGAGGAGTTTGTGGAGATTAGAGTTTGAAGTGCAAGTTTGGATCTGAGATCTACAGAGGAAGGAGCTTCATTTGGAGGTATAAAGTTCAAAACTTTCCTCTTCATTTGGTTTGTTGCTTCATGGACCATTTTAGGGTTAAAAGTCCCAAAGGTGGAGACTTTATGAGCGTAATGTGCTCCATGGACCTAGATCTGTCCCATTTCAGTGGTATTTGTGTTATAGATCCATAAAGTCCCCATCTTGGTCGTGGATATGAGATCATGCTTGAGTATTGGGCTTTCTAGTGTTAGGAAATGGTATATTTTGGGTGTTAGTGACTTGTTCAGCCATGCAAAGGCTTAAAGTCATCGACTTTATGGATTAAGAGGCTTAAAAATGGTCAGATCTAAAAGCTGGACGTGAGTCTTAACTGTTTAAGACCTCAAGAGCTAAGGAACTGAAACTGGGATTTACGTCGGGCGTAATCCCAATACGCGCGGCGTACGGGGTGGCGTTCCCCGATTCTGAGAGACTGCCGGGTACGCCCAGCGTACACATCTGGTACGCGCAGCGTAACCCGGAGGGTTGACTTTTGGTTGACTTTTAGGGTTTGGTCTATAGTGGGGCCTTTGAGTTATGAGAGGGGTAAAATGGTATTTTACCCTTCTGAGAGTACTAAGAGGAGGAATAGTCTAGCCTTGAGAGATGTATTGATTGAGAGTATTTATTTTACATGATTAGGCGGAGGCTAGACCTGATTTTACAGAGTTCGAGCTTTACCGAGTTACCCGAGGTGAGTCTTCTCACTATACTTTACCTAGAGTGGTAACAGAGTTATGTGACAGAGTTATTGTATGCTATCTATGTGATTTGTGGCACGGCATTATTTCTATGTGATTTATGCTGTGTGTATACCAGAGTTAGGACCGGAAGGTCCAAAGAGCTAGGACCAGAGGGTCCACAGAGTTAGGGCCCAAGGGCCCACAGAGTTATAGCCTCGAGTGGCTAATGTGTGTTATGTTCTATAGTTATGTGCCAGTGTATTTGTATGCTATTTATGTGTTGAGATTTATTGTGATATGTGATATGCATGATCCAGAGTTATCAGAGTTAGGACCTTTGGGTCCATAGAGTTAGGGCTAGAGAGCCCACAGAGAGTTGGGACTGGAGGGTCCCACTGAGACACACTGACCAGAGGGTCAGCAGAGTCATAGCCTCGAGTGGCTAATATGTGTTAGAGTGGTATTTTGGGGAACTCACTAAGCTTTATGCTTACGGTGTTATGTGTTATGTGTTTCAGGTACCAGTGGTGATCGCGGGAAGGCGCCGGCATGATCTGTACACACACCCGCAGAGTTTATTATGATTTGATCTTGGGATTTGTAGTGAGATAAAATTGATACATTGTTTTTTTTTAAAGCAATTGTGGATGAATTTATATGGTTTTAAAAAGTGAAAAATTGTTTTGAAAATTTGGGTGTTACATTTCTAAACACATTTGCGACGTCCGATGAAGCGTCGTGGTTTTCGGGGAACTCTCAACAATTATAGTTCGATTATAGGAACTCATCCTAACATTGTTAAACTAAAACTAACTATCTTAGACTACTACTAGGAAATAACCTAAGAAAGTAGTGATAGTACACTCAAATCGAATGAGCAAACTCATGATAACTAAGATAACTAAACAACTACAACACGTTTTATAGTAATAAAACATGTGAACTCACCAACATTATGTTGATTTTCAAACCACATGTATTCTCAGGAGAATGAGCCCGAAAGACGAGGGAAGTAACCCCGTCGTTGCAGCTAGAAGTTTATGCGCCCTATTATTGTATTTTGCTTTTGTGACCTACTTATATCTCGAACAGTTATGTAATATATTTTATTTAATGAATAAGAAGTAACGTTGTATGATATTCTAGTATAATATTCAATGCATGTATATGGCCTAAAATCCAACATTATAACATCTCACAGCCCAACGTTTCCGTCGTCGGCCGGGGGTGTGACACCACGATGTGGCAAGCCCATTGCACGTCGTGGGAACTGGCAGATTGTCAAAAACTTCATTAAGTGCTTAATCCTTACACATCTAAACCCAAAACTTCAGATCTATTTCTTTTCAATGACTTAATGGATAAAGTTTCCAACTTCAACCATTAGGACCCCATCACAAGCCAAGATATACAATTATAGGTCCATTAAGTCCTTAATGAGGCCAATACTTGAACATGGGCACAAAGGAACTCCAACCAAGGCTCCTTTCTCAACTATCAGCAGCCTATAGAGACTACAAGAGGACCATAACAAGCTCTGGAGTCCCTCCAACTCCAAGAGCATCCAAGGAAAGGACCAAAACTCCCAAAAATGACCTAAAACTTGAATCTAGAAGAAGAGATGTCAAGGTGGGAACTTTATACCTCTAATAGCTCAGAACACTGAAGAGGATGATGGATCCAAACTTGTTCATTGCTCCCTTGTGATCTTCATTCTTCTCAAACTTCACCAAAACTCCAAGAAATAAGTTTCAAATCAAAGGAACAAGCTCTCAAATCTTCATGGAGGCTTGGTTTTCGTTTGGAAGGGTTGGAGTCTGAAGAGGATGCCCTAATCTAAGAGTTTAGGAGCTTAAATATGAAGAAAACCCTAAAAGATCATGGGCTTGGGCTGCAGCCGCTGCCACGTCGTGGTCTTCCTCTTGTCAGGTCGTGGCGGCCATCCAGATACAGGTTCATGCAATTGAGATGCCACGTCGTGGTGCTCCATTCACCACGTCATGGCACAAGGCTTTCCCAAAAACCATACTTTAAATCCCTCTAAGCCCACAACCGACCCATTCTCGAAAACGGGTTTTACATGTTGGTAATATATGTAATATAATAGTATGTATATTTCAGCGTACATGACCTCCAAAAATAAAAGCATAAGATTCATCATTCCGTTATGTACCATCATATCTTAGGTACTTATACCACATGTATTCCCTCGACAACAACATGGATTCCCTCGACAACAAGGTTGAGGAGTAAATTTCACATTAATACTTATCGTTGAGAGCCAGACATAAGCTTAATCTTAAGGGAAATCAACTAATATAACCACTATGAAATTTATTTTTTTTACAAAATCAATCTATGTATAGATTTTTTTTATAGAAATGCTCCATGTGTTCAAGACTTTTGTATATTTGCATATTTAGTCCCTGTGTAAAAAATAATTTTCAAAAACCATCCCTATAATTTACAACAACAACAAAAAAAAACAAAAAAAAAAACTTTATGCCAAAAGACTAACAGTGGAGAGATGGAAAGCCAAAAGACTAAATTTGCTTATTAACAAAAGATATAGGAAGACTTTAATCTTTAAAAAGAAAACATTAAACATAGTATTAGGCAAGGTTGTCAAGATCGGGATCCTACGTATGATCGTTTTTGAGTTTGCAAGATCGGGATCGGGATCCTAAGATCCAACAAAATAAAATATAATTTTAATTTTTAATTTTTAATCATGAAAAGTAGTTCAAACATTTAATTTTTCGTTCAAAAGTTATAAAAACTTCAAAATATTAGTCATAAGTCGCAACACAAAATGATAAATGCTAAATTGGTAAGGGTAAAAGACATAAAATGGTAAAAAACTCATTTGCAAAAAAATAAAAATAAATAAATAAATAAAAATCAAGGGAGGTAGGATCGGATCGGATCTTGATCCTACTTACGATCTTACGATCCTACCTCAAACACGATCTTTTTACGATCATGATCGTTTTTCATACCTAGGATCGTACGATCAGGATCGCGATTTTGACAACCATGGTATTAGGTGTTTATTTTAGTTTTTATTTTAAACAAAAAACGTGTATTCCAAATACTAATTCAAGTAGCTTTTCAGAGCTTTTAGTTTTTATGTAATTTGACACATTTAAAAAATAACAACCATTTTTACAGAGCACTCACACAAATAAAAGTTATAGATTCTAGCTTTCAGCTAATTGCTAGTTTTGCCAAACACGCCCTAAATATGTCTTCCCCATAGAACTGAATCCGCTAGTAAATACTTGATATTCACCGATTCACAGCATAAAAATCCCCAAATCAACAAACTTCTCATTTTGAAACCATGCAAAAAAACGTACTCATCTACGTCTCTCGTATTACAATTTAAAAACAGATCAAGTGTTTCTACAAGTAAATAGTCAGTCAGCTCATCAAAAGGCTTTCTATATTCCAATTGCAACCAAACCAACAACTGTTTTTATAGATTACTTGACTCCAACAGATGCCATCAAGTCATCATACTCAGGATCACTCTCCTGTTTCCTTAAATTTTGAGGATTCCCAGGCTTATGTGGCCCAGCACCAGGCAAAAAAACGGATCATATATCTGCTGACGTGGCACAGATTGATGACCTGGCCTACCCAAAGGATACGGTGCATTGCCACGTAACTGCTGATTTGGAGGCAAAAAGTTCTGGGGCCGAAATCCCATGGATGGATGATGATTTTGTGGAACTTGTCCAAAGTTGCCAGGCCTTGCCGGCAAAAAGTTGGCTGGTGGACCAAACTGCCTAGCGGCAGGTGGCGGTGGACCATGGCCGGAAAAAACCGGCCGCCTGTCCGATGGACCACCCATTTGATGGTTATTCTGTGGCCTATGAAACCCTTGTTGCATCATAGGCGGCGGTGGTGGTCCTGGCCGGAACGACGGTTGAGGTGGCGGCATGAATTGAGACCCTGGCCTTGGAAGTGGCTGAGAGGTGAGCGGTGGTGGGCGGTGGGTTTGAAAGGTGAAATCGTTAGAACTTGGTGGTTGTGGTCTTAAGGCGGTCATGGGGCGGCTGCTGCCTTATAGATGGCGGCGGCATTGACCTAGCTGGTGGTGGCGGTGGCGGCGGTGGTCGAATCATCATCTGTGGGGCAGCCGGCGGTTGAGACCAACCACCAGAGGTCAACGGTCGAGGAATAGGCGACCCCATTGGCCGCATATTTGGGGATGAAAAATTATGCTGACGTGGCGCACCTTGTACAGGTGGCATAGGATTCCTGGGTGCGCCCGCATAACCCATATTTGGTGGTCGGTGAAAGGGTTGGGATTGTATCGGGGCAGAATTTGAAGGGGTTGAAACTGACAAATTTGAAAAATGAGGGGTTGAAACTGACAAGTTTGGAAGCCATTGATTAGGGTATTGAGGAAACTGAGGTAATGATGGTGTTTGGTTTACAGAGGAAGGTGGATTTGGATCTTGAGTCAAACTAACCATGGTTGGGTTATCTTCAGAAACTGGAACTTCTATAGGTTCAGGTTCAGTGTTTGCCTAAATAAAAATAAAAAAAAAAGGTCTGATTACAGGGACTAAATTTGTAAAAAAAATATATTATCAGGGTCAAAATTGAAACTTTCAAACTTACTGAAACTTGTGTGATTAGTATCTCAATCATGGAAACTGCAGCATCAACCTTCTCATAAGAGTCAGCGGTGACAAAAACTGACAACTCTTCATAATCAGCTTCATTTTCATCATATGAAGTTATCTCACTCTAATTTTAACCAAAAAAAAAAGATTAATAAAGAATTAAATAGCAATCTAAAACCCATTTAGGGTTTAGTAATTAGGACAAAAGGGTAATTTAAAATAATAAATAAATAAATAACATTACCTCTTTCTTTGTATCTGATTTCATACCATAAACCCGTAATTTTGCCCCAGTTTCCTAATAGATAAATTATAACAAAATTTTTTAAAGTATTAATAATATTAACAAATTTTAAAAATTTATATAGCATAATGTAGCCATTACCTTTTCCAATCGCTTTAAAGTATCACCCGAAAATATTACCCCAATAAAATTGCGTTCGGGATATTCTTTAATCTATAAATAAAAAAAATACAAGAGTTCAAATAAGTCAAACATCATTTATGAAAAAAAAAATGTAAAGTGAACTCACTGGAATTACAACTTTAGCCTCCTTTAACAATGGCTTATAATCAGCTGGAGCCTTGTAGCTTGGATTCAGTTTAAGTATTTCTCCTGTAAATCATAAAAAGAATTTATAAAATTTAAAAATTAATGTAATAAGTAATAACCTTGAAATAGTATTATTTAAGTTAAACTTACCAATAATCTCGCGCCTTTCAAGTTCTAATAACTCTAATTTCTGCATTAAATAATATATTTTTTAGCTTCAAATTTCAAATAACAATATAACATAAAGAATTTAAGAGTATAGAAAAGATTTTTAACCTCGAGAGTTTGGTTGTTTGTTGAATTATGATCATCACTTGACTCCATAACTCCTGAATTAAGTTGTTGTGTAATTTGTTCCAATCTAGTCTGCTCAAATATTGTTGTACAGATGCAACCATATCATTAAGAGACACCTGGAAAAAAGGGGCTACAAATGCCTCCAGATAAAGAAACATGATTCTATCTATGTGACAAAATATTAGAAATGAAATGGACATAATAACACTAACAGGCTGTTTGATATGAATATGACTCAATCCACAACTATCAAACAGCCATTAAAATCACATAGAAAAGCCTCATGGAAAAGAAAAGATATGATTTTTGACTTTTGAAGTACCTGATATGCTGAAGCTCTTCCCTTTTTGACAAAAGAATCTTGTGTCAAATCTGGGCCCCATTTTGTTTTTCTCAGCACTTGTTTTGTGCTTTCTTCATCTGCCACGTCAGCGCCACCTGGCTTTTTGCTGCCTCGGAAGATGGGAACTAAGGAGCCTGATAGCTTGTTTTTTGGTATTACGAATCCGGATTTTTTCGAGAACAAGGAGACTTTTGGGCTTACTGTTGATGATACAGATGAAGTGGTTGTTATGGAAGTTTGAATGGTGTCCTCCATTGATATTGGTTGAACCTTTGTACTCATGTTGCTATTGTGTGCATTGGAGGATGCTTAACATAAAGAAGTAGAAGCACATAAAAGTCAGATTGAAAAGCACAAAAATAGAGAAATTAGGTGTATATTTATATATAAAATTGGGCCATTTAGAGGGATATAGCAGATTGAAAATACACAAAAGAAAAGGTTAACATAATCAATGATTAACGTTAAACGAATTTGCAATCGTTATCACAAAGTAACTGTATACTCTTTTGTTCAAACACCATTAAACCCTTAAAACGCAAAACTCAAAACGCATTCGAATGTATCGAAAACGTAGCTTCAATTCTTATCAAACAACAACACTTATATCTACGCACAAGCAATGGATTAAACGGAGCAATCAGCAAGTAAGTGTTGACAAAATTAGAGCAGCACATTTGGAACTCATGGAACTCATGAACGATGCCCTAGTTTTGACAAGTTATTCGCACATATCAGCGCTACATTCGAGCTGGAAAGAGAATATACTTACCGGAAATGATTAATCCAATCAAGAACGACGGAGATCGGGTTGCAGGTCCTTTCCTCTGGAGCTTTGGCGCTCCCCTGTGTGGTTCCTTACGGGAACTGGAGGTGAGTGATTGATTGGTATTTATATTCGACCCGATCGGATCTGTATTGGTCTGTCGTTTTTGGGCCAACCTGATATTTGGGCTGGGCTTCTCTACATGTCCACCAAAACAAATATAAAATATAATAGGGAAATTGAGTAATCTATTTATAAACAATATTTTTGACAAAAATGACTAATTTTTTTTTCGGTAAAGTAATTACATTCTCCGGAACACATTGTTCCGGAGAGGTCTCCAGAATTCCGGAGTACGATTCTGGACCATGATTCCGGAATACATTTAACATTTTTTTTTATAAAATATAATACATAGTTTCGGAATACATTTGTAACACATGGTTCTAAAGTATAATGTATAAGTTTTGTTTTCATAAAATATATAACTTTTGGTTTTATAAAATATAAAGTGAATTAAAATGAACAAACAACTAATAAATACATAAACTAAATAAAGGATGTGTGTAGGTCATATTACAAATACGATGTTCAAATTATCTTTGTCTTTATACTCCAAAATATTTTCCGCTAGCCATTTTCTATAATCCATAGCTCATGGACCGGTGGTTTTACCCTTTATAGAAATAGATTTTCCGGTGATCAACGCCTCCAAGAACCAACACAAAATACCCTACAATCTCCTCTGTTGCCAATCTGTTGTGGTACGTTTGAGGCCTTTTCGAGGGTCATCTTGAAGCTCTCGAGTGGGATTGAATAAGTTAGTTCGGTACCCCAGTAGTTAACTCCTACTAGCAGTTTGTAGATGTGGACTCTCATACCTATAAACCAATCCTTATTTTCCGAACAGTAGCCGTCATTCCAATGACTATCGTATACAATCATTTGGAATGACTTCAAATCCAAAGCATCCAAAAACTAATGAGCATGTGGTATATTGATTGGAATGTAAAACTACAAAAAAAAAAGTTAGAAATAATCAATTAGTATATAAATACTCAGGTAATGTAATTCAAACAAAATTATACCTTATCACACTCTGTTTAAGGTGGGTAAACGGATCTGCCATCCATGTCACTCCAGTCAAATGTATCAGTGTTGAAAGTTGACGGCACAACCATCCACCAAGCATCATCCGCTCTACGCTCTACCAGCAATGAGATCCACATCATGATGTGCTGCCAATTAATTTTTTTTGCAGTAAAGTAATTATTGTTATTAGAAACGTATTATGTAATAAGCAAATAATTATATTACTTACATCACATGAAAACTGTCCTCATATAATCGTGTCCAAAACTCAAGCGTAGCAAAACCGGTCAAATAATTGTGACCAAACAACCGCGTCATCATGTTCTTTATAAACAGTGTGTACGGTAGGATCTAAAAGATTGTCCAACGGTGCTGGTTGTTGCCGTGTGATACATTTCCTCTTCATTTGTATCCATGACGACTTATACCAAATGGACATAACTTTTTGGCGCTTAGAACGCCTAACAGGTGCTGGCGACGGTGTTTTGTATTCATCTCGCGAAATCTCTTTTACATCCGACAAGTGAATAACTGGAGACGGCTGCTTAGGGGCGACATTCAGTAGCTATTCAGGGTCGTCATTCAGCAGGTTTTCGGGGGTGCTTAAGACATAATCATGTTCCCATAACTCATTGTCATTGTAGTATCCTTGTACTGTTCAATAATGTATACTTGTAAACAATGGAAAAACATAACGACTATAAACGATGAAATAATTAAAAATGTACCTCCATCTCGTTCAAGGTACATGAATCATCTCTGGGAGTCTTATTGATAAGTTTTAGAACCATGGTTAAAGTAGCCTCATGCTCTGCTAAACGCTCCTCCTGAGACCGCAACTGCTCACGACATTCATAGACCTCATTTTTCAATTGACCGACCTCATTCTGCAAGTCACTAATAATTTGGTCATTGTCAGTTGATGGGTCGGCGGGCGGCGGCGGTGGTGGTGGAGGGTGAGATGGATCATTTATCTGTGCCTTCTTTTCTCAAGGCTCATGGGTAGGTGAGTTTTTGGGTGATGGTGTTAGGGAAGGTGCCCTGTGAACTTCAGTGTCCGGAAAATCAGAGCGATCAATCCATGTCGAGCTAACAATCTACCATTGAGCACGCATCTTATATTTTGTCGGCCAACTTCTGTACGAATATATTACCATGCTAACAAAATTATAAAATTATAAATAAACATAAATTATAAAATAAATAAAGTTTTAAATAATAAAGTAACCATACGTCGTCGATTTGTAAAAAATTGGTTGCAGTGAGTCTTTTGTAACGGCCTCAGTTTTAACCATGCAATAGCCCGAGGGATCACATTCTGTTGTCGGGTACCAAACAAACTGCTCACCGGAAAAGTCTCAAGAATCCATATTTGAATGTTAGCAAACAAATAAATAAAAAATAGCTAGAATTTTAGCAAACAAAAATAAATAATAAATTTGTCAACATATACTTACCTTAAAAGCATATAAAAACTCATGTAGGGTGTAGGTTAATTTTTTAGGTTCATTCTCTTTCGGTTCTTCTCGATGTATAAGCGTGTCAACCTTATTAAATATAGTACAAAGTTGTTTGTATAATGTATCCCAAATTATCCTCACCCCATGGTTATCTGCCACAAAAAAAAGTAGTTAACAATTAAATTTCTAAAAAAATATTAGTAATGACATTATACATGTTAAATTCATCAAGGTTGGATAGCAAAGCGAAATACTCTTCTGTAACAGGTTGTTTAGCCAACCGCCCATTGAAACCCTTCTCTAACATGTATATAAGACATACACGGACTGCATCCTCGTCCGATAACTCATTAAGTGAAATTTAAAACACCTTCGTAACATGGTCTAATTTGACTGAGACATTCATCGGGACCATAGGAAAGGCACAGGAACGGAAGGCGGTGCCGGATGCAAAAACAGGAAAATAGTCTTCAAACTAGAATCCGGTGATGAGAAAAAATTCTTTCTTCTTAATGACAGCTCGTAACCCCCAATCTCAAAAACTATTTCATGTACTTGGCTTCGGGGGTCGGTAACAACTTTATGACAAAAGATGTAATGTAGAAGCAAAGGATCCTCATCTCACATTAGGAATGTCTAACCACCTCCCGAAACATGTATTCCAGAACATAGTCTCGCATTCGGGTCTATTTTGAATGCCGCAAGAATTTCCCTACCGATTTTGGGTTTACACGAGCGTGTGATTGATGCATCAAAACCATGTCGTGATGCACAAATAAAAAAGGTGTTATCACTCCATTCTAAAATGGAAATGACCAATATTCTGTACCAGTTCCGTACCTATTCTTCATATTCCAGACAAGTTCATCGTGTTCCGGAACAGTTCTTTGCGTTCCGGAGGCTTCTGAAATAAAATTTTAAGATCCGGAACATGACATTTCGATGTAAATCAACAATACATAAACATATAAACTACTTTTCAGTTGGTCCTGCAACAATGAAATCTTTAATTTAAACTTCGGAACGTTTTCAGTTCATTCTGAAGGTGGTCTACGAATTCCGGAACAGTAAGAGTAGAAAAATAGGAATCTTAAACAAACAAAGAGAAAACGAAGAACGTACACCGTAAATAACGGGATCATAGTACTCTTCTTCCATATCGAAGATGGGTGTCGATGTGTTTCGGAGATGGGAGTTGCGTTGCGTGTCAAAACATTATAATCAGAAGGCGCCTTTCCGTAATGAAATCGTCTCCTCAAATTATATTTCGGATTTTGAAATTCAAAATCCCGATCAGGAACATATATGGTTGATCCGAAATAGGCATTCCAGATCCAATGCAATGGGTTAGGCCACCCGAAAAAATAATATGGAATTCATTCCGGAACAACCCATTCTGGAATATGTGGTTATTTTGAAAAAAAAAAAGGTTATTAAAAAAAAGGTGGTTAGATTACTCAATTTTCTAATATAATGGATAACTACATATATGACCATAGTTAATATTAGTTAAAGAAAATAATCTCATTTTATTTTGTTTACAAAAATGATACATGATTCTTAAATGGGTTGTTTTTGGCTTGAATTCCATTGGGTGCCCATTCGGGTTAGTGGTTTTTCGTATGTGGTACTCACCATATTTTGGAGTCGGATTCTAAACACTCTGATTTTTTTTAGTGTAGTGGAATTAAATGATGAAGGTGTGGTGTTGTAGGTATGTTCTTTCTTCTGTATAGGTTTTATTTAACATTTTATTGTGTTTTATAGTCTAAAACAATACGCCAGAATGGAAAACCCTAGTCTGGAATCCGATGAACTTTTTTGGAACAGATTATGTTTTCCGCTAAAAATATGTACTTTAGTATTTTTGTCAATATTTAGCCTTTCTTTTCAGCAATAATCTGGATATGTATTGTTAGTTCATTACAAAACGTAGTCTGGAACTGACAAACGAGTCTGGAATATAATGAACTCTCATGTACGTATATGTGTGTTTGGCTAAAAATACATAGTACTTTAGTATTTGTGAATATTTAGGCCTTTGACATTAATAATATAGTTATGTATCATCAGTTACGTAGAACTATGTATCCAGAATTTACATCATAGTCTAGAACCCGTAGATTGAGTTTGGAATACGATAAATTGCTCCCGGTACCGGTTTCAAAATAAATTTTGATAACTTGTTTTACTATTATGTCAGCATAAATTTGTAAATAATGCTTCACTAACGCTCGCTTGCAAACCAAACTTGACTCAGAATATTCTTGTTAAGCTACAAAATACTCCGCTATATGAAGGGCTTTTTAGGGCCTCATGTTTTGGCACGATGTCCCCATGGAGTGAAAGGGGATTGTATCTCATCCATTTCATGTTTTGTAACGAGGTTATTACATCTCCAAGGTCCAACATGTACGCAATATTCTTTTGGCTTGACTAATAAAAAGGTATATTGACTTATAACAAGTTTGTGGTTTGGTGACTATTCTATGGCTTGTTTGTCAACCATGGATTTCCATAACCGGTTCGTTCTATTTGTCCAAATTTTTGACATGATTAGGTAAAAGACATAAAGGAGATGTCTTCAATTGCTCATTTGAAGATATAATTGATGAATATTTGATACAAGTGTCTTTGCTCTACATGTTGTAAAATAGGTTCTATGGTAGATACTCTCTCCAACCAATGAAGGAGAAATTCATTGCCATCACATCTAATATTGAGTAGTTCAACAAGTATCATATCATTTACCATTTTAATTAGTTTTAATTTTAATAATTATTTTGATCTAATTCATGGATCCCTTTATTTTTTTGCC